AGACATCAAACTTCTCTCTGCACAGGAAGAATTCTATTTGCCATTTGCTCGTTCCTACTGGTTTCTCAGTTTATTTTCTCTATGTTTAATAGTTTATTTTAATACTGCCTTATCTCTGAGTAGTAGAATATTGATTTCCCTTTTTATAATTATATACTATATAATTATAATTTATATAATATATAACATAATTACACATCTGAATGACAATACCCAGGCTTCACATGTTATCACATTAAGCCCTAATTTGATGTAATTCCAGACAGAAATGTTTAAATTGTACTAAATGATAATGTACTGTGAGGATTCTGTCTTAGCCTCTTTGTATATAAAGAAATGAGATGGAAGAAGTGGTAGGCTATATATGGAAGATTAGGGTATCTGGCTTAAGATATATTACGTATCCTTCAAATTCTGTGAAGAGGCACAGCAAATGCATAACAAAAGCTTAATCTGAAAACAATCTGATTCATATTCTTGGGAAAGGCTGTTGAGGAAGTGGGGTGTTGAGGTGAGGGTTGAAGCTACAATGAGTCATGTTGAGGAATCAGAAAATATGGAATAACTTCAGTACAGCATGGAAACAATGCTGGTCCCACTTGTAAACTGGTGGGATTGGAATAATGTGACCCTTCTGCTTTATCTCTCAGTAATTGTTGATATTATCAATCATGACATCCTTTTGAGTCACCTCTGAGAATTAGGAGGGAGAAGTACTCATTTATAATGGCTCTTGTTAAAGGGATGGTTTCAGTCAGTATTGGTAATGGAAGAAAGATTGAGCTTAGGTTCAGCAGGTATTGGGCACTATTATTAAATATACATGATCTTTTACAGATCTTATACACTTATCAGAACATAAGCAACAAAGATGCCACCAAGAAAGTACCCCAACACTGATCACTGATGTGGAGGTGTGATGACTCAGGGCCCCGCACGGAGGCAAAGCAGTCGGCTGGCAAGAGAAACAGTCCTTTAATAACTGCCAATGTTCCCCAAAAGCTCCCACATATGCTGGCAAGCCTTCCACCAAGGCACACACTCATGTTCCTTTCAGCTGCCTTTGGTTGAAGGCAATTTCAATATAGCTGGGGAAGTATACAATTTCGTCAAGGCCAGACAGATAACAAGAAAACAAAACAGAAACTTAAAAGAGTCCTTTTTAAATCTCAGCTTGCCTGCAGTCTGCAAGGAGAGACTCAGAATTGCAGTCTGCGGAGGTAAAGCAGGAAACCAGCCGGTCCAGGTGTCCAGGTTAAACAAAGACAAGAGCACAATTCACAACTGCCCTAAGATACCATGTTTGTTCCTCGCAAATACCCCACCCTACAGCATCTCCTTAAATCTTAATCCCTAGGTGTGCCTTGTAGAGTGGGGCGGGAGGCTCTCCTTCCAAGCAATTGAGCTTGCCTACATCAGTGTTTCCCAAACTTGACAATTTTAAGGCATGAGGACTTCAACTCCCAGAATTCCACAGCCAGCAACGCTGGCTGTGGAATTCTGGGAGTTGAAGTCCACATGCCTTAAAATTGTCAAGTTTGGGAAACACTGGCCTACATTGTTCTCTCCTCTCTGCTCTCCTTGCTCTAGGATGGGAAGGGGCTTGCTCCTCGCCTGAACTCTGCTTCCCCTGTTCCAAACCTGAAGGGCCCTGGCCTGCCTCAGCCTGCTCTTCCCCACAGTCCTCTGAAGCCACAGACACCTCTCCCTCGGCCTCAACAGGGTCCTGCTCCAGCTCCATGTCCTCCTCGGATTCAGGTTCGGATGGCTAGCTAGCTAGCTAGCTAGCTAGCTAGCTAGCTAGAGATAGATAGATAGATAGATAGATAGATAGATAGATAGATAGATAGATAGATAGATAGATAGATGGAGTAGTCCATTGACCAAGTTAGACAACAGGAACTTGGGAGATTCCAAATAGCTCTTTGGGGAGAATCTCAGCTTTTCCAAAACCATGTTTCCATCTTTGAGGCTACACAAAAGTCATGATATCTGTGCTGATGCTCACAAAATGTTTTCATACTATGTTTTGATTTTATACTTTTTCATTTTTATTTTGAAGTGTCACTTCCTTTTTCAAGGAAATAACATCTTGCATGTTATTATGGGCCCTTCAGTAATGAGAGATAGATATTTTCTTTACTGTAGTTTCCTTTTGTTTCATCTCTAAAGGATAAAAGTTGACGATTTAGTCTATATTCTCTGCACTCTTATTTGTGCTTCCTTTTCTACTTTTTTTCTGGTCAGCTAGAAATACAAGGATACATATAGGACACAGTAGGTTTCAGAGAGAATAAGGACAGAGTGAGTGGAATAAAGCATTAAGATATTGTATGCAAAGAATAGAGAATATGAGTATATATTTTATACTGATTATGACGGGATTCATTGCTGTCCCCACTTCTGTTCATCAGCCACATGAGGCCCATGAATAAGTGTTAGTTCAGGCTTTAGCACAGTAGTTCTCAACCTTTTTAATGTCGCGACCCCCAACCGGTCGTAAGTCGAGGACTACTCAACCGGTTGTAAGTTGAGGACTACTCAACTGGTGCAGCACTGTTTGCAGAATGGGACTTTTGGCGGGCTCAGCAGGGCAGAGAAAGCCTGGACAATTCCTATTGGCTTTTGAAAGCCAATAGAATTAGACTCTATTCAAGAGAGTCTATTCTATTGGCTTTCAAAAGCCAATAGAATAAAATGGAATAGCACATCTAAGGAAAAGGGGGGAAAAATGGCGGACTGCGTTGTATGGCGACCCCCGTGAAATGGCCGTTCGACCCCAAATGGGGTCCCGACCCACAGGTTGAGAACCATTGCTTTAGCAGTATGGTGACAATATCAAAATTATTTCTCAACCCCTAACCCAGGGGTAGGCAACCTTGGCTCTTTTATGACTTGTGGACTTCAACTCCCAGAATTCCTGAGCCAGCATGGCTCAGCTTGGAAACCTCTCCCTTTCCCCTCAGCATGGCTGGCTCAGGAATTCTGGGAGTTGAAGTCCATGAGTCATAAAAGAGCCAAGGTGGCCTACCCCCGTCCTAACCGAAAAGAGCAATGCTGTGCAGTGCTGTCTTGGAGGATTTGTCACCATAAAAACCAGGCAAGCAGGCAACAAGTCGATCTCAGATGGAGTGGCTCTGGAACCTGTCAGTTTCAGAGAGTTACCATCTTTAGTTCCAAACAGAGTCGCAATTCATTGAGCAAAAGTGGTTTGTAATTCAGGCAATCTCTTGGATGCACAGCCCCACCTGAAGGGCAAATAGCAACAATGGCCAAGATAACCTTTCCCAGAATGAGATACCTCTCCTTTGGAGTGCGGCAGTGCTATATGGGACTGCTCTTTATAAAACAAATTTTATTGGTTTTTTAATTTCTTAAAGCAAAGTATTCAGAACACACCGTGGTGCTGGGGTAATCAAACATCCTAAAACAAAACATATATACATAGTACAATCAATACATCAAATATTCCCTCTCTTTTCCCCTCAAATAGCATAGTATATTTAAAATATCCAATTCTAGCTTAAATTTATTCAACCTGAACCTGTTTTTAAGCTTCATTAATTTACAATACCATAATCAAATTAACTTTAAATAAAAACATTTTCAATTCAAATATCCCTTCCAAGTATGTTCTACTTCCTTAATTTTATCAAAATCTTATTTATTTCTTCTTCCACTAATCTCCTCTATTTAGAGTAAAATATTAATCTATCCTATACCTATCTAATCCATCAGGAACTGCTCTTGAAGAGCATTTGGAAGCTACCGATAGTCCAAAATGCAGTGGCTCTAGTTGTTATGAGTATCTTTGAGCCACATTTAATACATCTCTGGCTTGAGAGCTGCACTGATTGCCAGTTGATTTTATGGTGCGGTTCAGGATGCAGGTTATGATATTTAAAGTCAGGGTTCAGAGCCTGGGATATTTGTGGACCATTTTCTCTCTATAATAATGGCCCCCAACCTTTTGGGCACCAGGGACTGGTTCCATGGAGAAAGTTTTTCCACGAATCGGAGGGAGGTGGTTTCGTGTGCTGCCAACATCCCATGGATGGAGCTTTGCTTGTTTGCACAGAGCGGTTCCTGGCATGCCCCGGACTGGTGCCAGTCCACGGACTGGGGTTGGGGACCCCTGCTGTATAAGACCTATCTGCTAATAAATCTAGTACAGTGAGCTCTTCACATATCCTCTCAACCAGAGATTGCCACCTATGGAATCAAGTGAAATATGATTGCTCAGTATTACAGCTGACACCGCGTGCCTTCTCAATATTACAGCTGACACTGAGTTTCTTTTCTCCTTCCTCTTGATCTTAAGAAAATTAGTGACTAATTCATCAAGCCACAGGGCCAGAGTGAGTAATTAACGGTGTGTTGTTACAATGTTTGATTATATTTATAATCCTTTTATATTATGATTTTAGCTCTAATCTTTGATGATTGAAACTAATTACTTTAACCCTTATTATGGATTTGGGAAGTAGCACCCTGCTCCGAGAGTTGGTTCAGATAAGATGAGATGAGATGAAATAGATAACCTTTATTGTCATTTTTTTTACTGCGGGCACAACTGCACACATCAAAAATGAAATTTAGCTGCCCGCTCTCAAAGTGAAACACATACACAACACACACCTAAACATACTACATACGTATAGGTTAAGTACAACAGCCCATAAGCACTGTAAGTAAAAACAAAGAACTAGGGCAGTGGTTCTCAACCTGTGGGTCGGGACCCCATTTGGGGTCGAACGACCATTTCACGGGGGTCGCCAAACAACGCAGTCCGCCATTTTTTCCCCCTTTTCCTTAGCTGTGCTACTCCCTTTTATTCTATTGGCTTTTGAAAGCCAATAGAATAGACTCTCTTGAATAGAGTCTAATTCTATTGGCTTTCAAAAGCCAATAGGAATTGTCCAGGCTGTCTCTGCCCTGCTGAGCCCGCCAAAAGTCCCATTCTGCAAACGGTGCTGCACCAGTTGAGTAGTCCTCGACTTACGACCGGTTGAGTAGTCCTCGACTTACGACCGGTTGGGGGTCACGGCATTAAAAAGGTTGAGAACCACTGAACTAGGGTTTCACTCATAATTCTCTTCCCTCACTGCGCTTACAAGCGCACTAAACTGCAACACCGAGACTGGCGCTTTGCCCCTTATTTTTGTATTGTACAGAAGCTAGCACAATCGGCAGCGAAGAATCCCGCTGCCCCGGAGAGGCGCCTTCTCCATCGGCCCAAAAGTTCGCGGGCTTCGGCCCGAATCCTGCCGCTGGTGGCCCAGTCGCTCAGTCCCTGGGCTGCGCCGAACGAACCACCCGCGCCCGGCGGGAGCGGCTGGCCGAGGGGGCGGCTCCGTTGGCCCGGTCGTGGGAACTCCGTCCGTCGCTTTTCTACCGGCGTAGAGAAAGGGGAAGGGAGAGGGAGGAAGTGGTCGCTGTCCTCAGCCGGCCGGTTGAGGCGCCCGAACCGTCGCGTCGGCGAAGTAGGAGCCTGTCTCCCCCACAAGCGCCGGAAGGAGGTCGGGGCTAGAGCTCCGGCTGACTTGCCGGCCATCGGGAGCCAGACCGGTTCGTCTGAGGCGAAGCGCGGCATGGCGGCCGCCCCGGGTAAGTGAGGCGAGCTTCGGAGGCCGGAGAAAGAGCGTCACCTTCCCCCCCCACACACACACACAGCCGTCTGGCTGGTCCGCTGCCCCCCTTCTTCGTTTCGGTTGCGGGGGGGAAAAGTTTCGGCGCAAGGAACTCCTGCTTGCCTTGCCCCGCGGACGCCCGGCTCTGGCTCGCTCGGGTGGGCGAAGGGTGTCCGGCCAAATGCCCCCCCGAGGGCCGGCAGGAAAGAGGTGCGCGGATAAACTTGCCGCATTCCTTCGACGGTCTGACTTGAAACTTTACTATGAGTGTCGTGGACAAGAGACCGGCCCTAACCGAGGTTCTGGTAGTCGGGCTAGCCGCTATAGCCCTTCCGCTGGCGGGTGCGGGAAAGCAGGGACTGAGTGCCTGTGCCTGGCGCAGCTTTGTTAGACGCCGTTCTTCTGCATATTCATTTTGTTTTGTTTTGTTTTTAATGGAAAAATTACCCTGTAGAAATATGCCTCGCACTTTTTCCAGTGGAACTTATTGGTGATTAATAATAATAATAACAACAATAACAATAATATCTAATACCATCCACATCCACATCTGCCTATCCCAGGTCCTTGGTAAGGACTCGATAGGTAGACAAAAATGCCAAATCCAGGCTGAACATCTGGCTGACTGTATGATGATCAATAATAATAATAGTAATAGTAATAATAATAATAATAACAACAACAACAATAACAATAATATCTAATACCATCCACATCCACATCTGTCTATCCCAGGTCCTTGGTAAGGACTCGATAGGTAGACAAAAATGCCAAATCCAGGCTAAACATCTGGCTGACTGTGCGATGATCAATAATAATAATAATCAGGGCTTTTTTTTTTATCATAGAACGCCCAAAACGGAGTTCCAGCACCTTTTTTGGATGGAACCTTGTAGGGTAGGCAAGGCGGGTTGTATGACATGTGTGAATTCCGGCACTTTTTTTTTTTTTTTACAAAAAAAGCACATGATGATGATGATGATGTTGAAAGGGACCTTGGAGGTCATCTAGTCCAACCCCCTGCTCAGGCAGGAAACCCTTTCGGACAAATGGCTGTCCAGTCTCTTCTTAAAAACTTCCAGTGTTGGAGCATTCACTGCTTCTGGAGGCAGGTTGTTCCACTGGTTTTGTTCTAACTGTCAGGAAGTTTCTCCTTAGTTCTAGGTTGCTTCTCTCCTCAATTAGTTTCCATTAGTTGCTTCTTGTCCTGCCTTCAGACACAGAAACCCCTTATGGACTTTTTTCCTAAAACAGGAAAAAAAAATGAATATAGGCTTTCTGATTTTGATTATTCAATCGGATAGATTATAAAAAGGAATGAATTGTGTTGTAATTATAGAGTAAGAGATACATTTATAATTGAACTTGCAACTGCTTTAAAAAGGATCAGAAGTCTCTTCTTTGTATCTTTTTTTCTTTTCTACTTTTCTTTTACTTTTTTTCCGTTTCTTACACTTTTCTGTTTGATTTTTTTCTCTTTTTCTTATACTTTTTATATAAGCTTTTTTTGTCTTTATCTTCCTTCATAGATATATAAAGGAACTTGTTGCCAAATCAGCTTTGCAGATAATATAATAATATAAAGCTAGTCCCATTGATGCTGTTAGGTTGCCCTAAGGGATTAAGTGCATGGATTCACACGGTGACCATATTTTAGCCCAGCCTGTTAACTGAAGTCTATAGTTAATTTATGATTCCTCTGGAAAGATCAAAAAAGGGCTGAGTGAACCATTGTTTAGGGATAATCAAGAATAAGCATATAATTCAAATACTGTCTCTGTCTCTTTTTTCTGAATTACAGATGTATTTTACCTGAATTCTTGTATAGCCAGACTGTTAAAAGTTGGGCACCTGAGTTATTCCAGATCCATATTGACTTTTAAAACTGGTTCAACCACAAATCAGGTGTTCAATGTCTTCTCTTGTCTATGTGTATGCTTGACAATTGCTGAGATTATTTAGAAAAAGTCTTCAAATTGTCAGTCCTTCAAATCTCCCAGCTACCCTTTTGCTGTTTCCATATAAATTCCAAAATTAGATATGATTACAACCTATTTAGAAAGTTGCTTAGATAAATTGCATTGCAGTAGCCAAGCTTTTTTTTTTAAAAAAATGCATGGTATTTAATTTATGCTAAATTAAAAGATGCAAAAAGGCAATTTAAAGTTTTATATTTGTTAATTGCATTCTATTATTTTCACTGTTCTTTATTTTACAAACGTATTTGTAAATAGCTTTGTCACCTACCTAGAGCATTTAGCTCAGTGGTTCTCAATCTTTTTAATACCGCGACCCCCAACCGGTCACAAGTCGAGGACTACTCAACCGGTAGTAAGTCTAGGGCTACTCAACTGGTGCAGCACCGTTTGCAGAATGGGACTTTTGGTGGGCTCAGCAGGGCAGAGACAGCCTGGACAATTCCTATTGGCTTTTGAAAGCCAATAGAATTAGACTCTATTCAAGAGAGTCTATTCTATTGGCTTTCAAAAGCCAATAGAATCAAAGGGAGTAGCACAGCTAAGGAAAAGGGGGAAAAAATGGCCGATTGCGTTGTTTGGCAACCCCTGTGAAATGGTCGTTCGACCCCAAATGGGGTCCCGACCCACAGGTTGAGAACCACTGATTTAGCTTATTAAACATATTAGAAACTAAATAAAGTAACCAAGATACATTGTCATATGCAAATCGGACTAAATTACTGTGAATTCAGCAGCTTCAATCCCTAAATCTGCTAAGGATTGTAGATAGAAAGTACAAGTAAGTTTCTCTTCCGTTTTTGAATTTAAGCTTCTGCACGGATAATGTACAAAGAGGGAACTCATGCAAGACCATTTGAGGGGTTTTTTGAGCTGTTCTGACATAATAGTTTCATTTTCCCCAGGGCTAAAAGCAGAGGAAGTGCAGCCCTATGGAAACATGAACTCTGTCTAAATTCTGAAACAAATGATTAAATAGCCAGTCTGTGAGAATTTGGAAAACAATATATTGTTTGGCAGGAGCCAACATCGATTTGTTCATTTTTTTAAACCAGAGACCAGTTTTGTGTAGTGATTAATGTATCAGGCTAGAAACAGGGAAACCACGAGTTCAGACTTAGGCGTGGTCAGTTGGGTGACCTTGGGCCAGTCACTTTCTCTCAGCCCTAGGAATGAGGCAATGGCAAACTACTTCTGAAAAACCCTGCCAAGAAAACTGTAGGGACTTGTTCAGGCAGTTTCCAAGATTTGGACATGATTGAACAGGAAAAAAAAAAAACTAAACCAACTTGATCTCTTCTTTTGATAGAATAGTTTAGTTGACCGTGGTAATGCAGCAGAGTGCACTTTTGACTTCAGCAAAGCTTTTGACAAATTTCCCATGAAATTCTGGTATAGAATGGTATTTCCATTCCATAGATATAGAACTGGTTGAACAATCGTATCGAAAGAATAATGGCTCCAAGTTGGAAGGAGATAGCAAATGGCATTCTGTAGGAATCTGCTTTAGGTCCTATACAGAAGGGGTCCCCAACCCCCATAACATGCACTGGTAGCAGTCTGTGGCCCGTTGGGAACTCGGCCGCACAAGTGGCGGACAAGTATAAGAAGCTTCATTTGCACATATACGGGATCTAGGTCCGTGATCCATCTCCTTCCCCCTGATGCTGACACCGCCAATGCTGCCAGTTCGTGGAGCTAGAAAGGTTGAGGACAACTACTGAACAGTTCAATATATTTATGTTAATGAGGGATTAGAAAATATTATCAGAACAGTAGATAACCCAAAGTTAGGAAACATAGAAAATCTCTGAGAGAAAAGTATCAAGGTTCAGAAAAGTTTTGGAAAAAATATTTTTTCCCAAAGGAGATTAACAGATCACGCACCTCGGTTCTAATTTACATGAAAGCTGGGACATGACCATTGAAGTAAAGACAAGGATAGAAAAAGCCTGAACAGCATTCTTCAAAATGAAAAAGGTCTTCTGCAGTCACGACATAAGCCTAAGACTGAAAATCAGGCTTGTCAGATGCTATATTTTTTCTATCCTGCTCTACGGAGTAGAGAGTTGGTCTCTGACAGAAGGCCACCTGAAGAGACTAGAAGCATTTGAAATGTGGATTTACAGGCGGCTGTTACGTATAAGCTGGGTGGACAAGATCAGAAATGAGGTGATAAGCCGCCTGGGAAAGCCAAGGGAAATCATCAAAACAATTAAAAAACAAAAGTTAGAATATTTCGAACATGTGACGCGACACCCAGAAAAATACGGCATACTCCTTTTAATCCTGCAGGGAAAGATTGAAAGCAAATGAGGTCCAGGCAGAAGAAGAACATTGTGGCTTCAAAATCTAAGGGACTGGTTTGGTCAAAACTCAGCAGCACTTTTTCGTGCGGCTGCTGATAAAAACATGATTGCCAACATCCGATAATAGATATGGCACAAGAAGAAGAAGAAGAAAGGAGATTAACATATGTCTAAATATATTTCTAAATTAATATTTTTGGATTTCTCTGATAGATAACTTCACAAACGTTTCCAAGAAAAGTTATATTGCATTTAAATTAGTTTGTACTTACATTTGCAAATTAAAACGTGTATAGTTTGGTAAAATGGTTAAGGATCAGCATTGGAAATTCCAGTCCTAATTAGGCTTGTTAACTGAAGACCATCTGTTCTACTGATAGTTTCCTGAGTGCTATTGAATGCCCATTGATTGGAATATTACTCTTGTGAAACTAGCTGTAGAATTCAAGGATGCGTATAATGAATATAGTTTCTGGCTAGGGTGAGTGATACTGTAGAGGTGATTAATACTTTAGAAGATTAAAAAAAGATTTAAACTGAGATCAGTAGAGGGCTAAAATGAATAAGATGGAATATAACAGGAAGAAGTGTAAAGTTCTACACCTAAGTAGGAAAAATAAAAGGCACAAGAGTATGGGAGTGTCTGGCTTAGCAGTAGTACATATGAAAAGGTTTTTGTCAACTACAAGTTA